CTTGAAAACTCCAGAAGCCTTAATATTTTAGATGCGATTCAAAACTCTGATTCAAAACAACTGTAAAATTACATTTCTAACCTGAATGTGGAAAGCAACAGCATCCAGTTTCAAATCCAAAAAAATCAATCTCGCAATCATTTTACCCTCGCCAACAGTTGTGTTTAGTATACAACGGGTAGGCCCAGCTATTCTTTATGTATTTGCGTTCGAACTCTTCATTTGTAAATTGGAGCAAGACTCTGTTGTCATGCTTACGCTTCTCCAGTTAGTTACGGCAACATCAAAGGCAGTCACATTCGAGAGTTTCGAAAACAAAACTGAATCTAAGGCTCTTAGTAGCTTCTCATTCAAGTTATTGTGATTCGAGTGTTTTTCGTAGTATCCTATTTCAAAGCACATGTAGTTGCCTTTCGATGGTATGCTATGTGCTTTTTGTTTCCTCTGGTAGGGCCACTGTTTGAAGGAATACCGTTGCAAACGGTCCTATGGGAAAAGCCACCTGTGCTGTTTTCCAATGTTACAAAGCGCGAAACCGCGACGGAGATGAGGGCGCAAGAAATCTGTGACAGTTTTTAGCCACTAGCAACAGCAAAACATGGAAAGCGGGTGAAGAAAGCTTCCATGTTTTATCAGATCAGGCGGACAACATTCATTTTTAAACAAGGTTCGTTTACTGTACTGTTATATTTCGAACGAGTTAAATATTAGCCAGAAAATTCTGATATTTTTCTACGAGTCCGCGCTGATAAGACACAATGCATTACTATAGAACAATTTAGGGCCTTAAAATGCCATCCATACTATAAAGGTGTTGAATGATAAGTTGAGGAGACCGTAGATACTTTGTATAGAAGTAAAATAATCTTGAATGAATTAGGTTGACGTTTCTTTATCCGTATTTTAAGAGCATTTCTGAATTTCACTTAAAGGGGTTGAACATATCACCAAATATATATTACTGCAAAGTGTTAAAACGAATCTGGTAGAAAATCGAGTAAGTTTAGCTTTTAGTGGACAAAAACCTTGCACCAGAATTTAATAATAATAATTATCAAATATAAAATAATTGTAACGTCCCATAATAACTCGAGAAAATAAATGTCAAAGTTCAGAGAAATTGTGTAGACACAGGTGAATTATCATCATCAGTTTCATTTTACTAGTTGAAATATTTAATATGAACTTCAAAAGTTCTTTTCGACGTTTGTTATCGTTAGAAATGATTTCTTTTGACATTTAAAACAGTCGCACAGAAGTTTCCAATCAGTGGTGTAGACAATCTTGGTACAAAATATTGTGCAAACAATTGTGCTTGAACCTCTGGTGGATTCCGTTTTAATAACATTTTGCTTTTTCTCAAGCAATTGCCATATTAACTGTTTACGCTTTTCTTAGTCGATATTTAATTAGCTTTCAAAAGGTCTCGGACGATTCCGGAATTTCGATGGAAATTTCGACGAAATTATGAAAGAACAAGGAACCAAACTCGACAAATTTCGTTTGCACAGTATTTTATCTAAAACGAATCGGGGATGACAACCGATCAATTACAAAATTTTCTTGCGGTGCTTCTCCAGAATGGATGTATTACTGAAACTCTTCTAAAGCTTGTAGAGCTTTGATTTTCTTCAGCAATACTTAAGATAATTGCATTTAATTTCCAGCTTTACGGAACACAGGTAAAATAACCTTTAAACTGTATCGTTTTCCAACTTCAGATGGCGTTTCGAGCAGGTATCGCAATATTGCTCCTTAAGTTCAATCTACGCCAAAGATTAAGAGCCTTGATCTAGACCCTTTTCATGAATGGAACAACTTATAAATTCGTTTGTAAGTATTAAAATAAGCCTGATTAACCACGTTCTTGAGTTGATAATTCAGAAGAATATTTAGCCAGCCACAAACTAGTTAAGTCGGTGAGACCTTTTAAATCAATGCAAATTAAAGAATTGTGAATTTTAAATTGGCAGCTATTTATGAAAAGGGTCTATTCTGTAATCTTCTTTTTAACTATCTCCTGGCATAGTTTCATCCTTATTACGAAGTTGAAAGTCCTTAGGGAATATTCAAGACGTAAAAAGCTAATCAGAAAGCCGTTCAAATCACACAAGTTCATGTGGTAAGAAAAAGTAGGAAACAAAGCCGATTCCATAACTATAAGTCATATTTATAGGATTCTACTGAAATAAAGTGGTACGGTTTTATATATATTTAGGACTTTTTCTTTAGCAGCCAAGAATTCTGCACTAGTATTTAGAGTATAAACAGCGAGTTAGCATCAAGCGAGTTAGCGATCATGTTAGTTAAAATTCGTGCCGTCGTTTATGTTGCTTAGAAAGGTCAAATTTTTAGCCATGGAATTGTGCCTTCGGTATAAGTGCAGTGAAATATATTTGTTATGAGAAATGTAGATCGGGAATTTACCATTTCTCGGAATGCAAAATATTTAGCCTGATCTTTTGTAGTGAAAAAAAAAATTGCATATTTTTTTCCGTTCTGAAGCAGCTCTTCTGTAATCTAAATAATTAGTAAGTAATGTCGACCGGGAATTTTCCGTTTTCAGGATGTAAATTAAAGTATTTGGATTGATAGTTTTGTAGTCTAAAAGTCTAAAATTGGTGAGCAATAAAGTTCTCATGAACAATCCAGACATGGACCGTATTTCTGGTACTAGCGAGGGAGGTAACAGTCCTTTCCATTAAAGTATCCTGTTTCCGCGCTTTAAGACTTTGAAAATTTAACGAAGTCGTGTTTCTCGTTCGAATAGTTAGCCAACCTCTTCTAAGAGGGATTCGTCCAGCCGTGAAAATTCCACTTGAAATCGCCTGAGTAGATATCAAGGCAAAGCTTAACAAGAAAAAGGAAACCACAATTTTCAATTTTGCGTTTTGTTAAATAATTAGTAAGCAATGTAGACCGGGAATTTTCCGTTTTCGGGATGCAAATTAAAGTATTTGGATTGATAGTTTTGTAGTCTACAAATCTGAAATTGGTGAGCAATAAAGTTCTCATGGACAATCCAGACATGAACAGTATTTCTGGTGTTAGCGAGGTAGGTAGCAGCCCCTTCCATTAAAGTATCCTGTTTCCGCGCTTTGAGATTTTGAAAATTTAACGCAGTCGTGTTTCTCGTTGGAATAGTTTGCCAACCTCTTCTAGGAGGGATTCGTCCAGCCGTGAAAATTCCCCTTGAAATCGCCTGAGCAGATATCAAGGCAAAGCCTAACAAGAAAAAGGAACCACAATATCCAATTTTGCGTTTTGTTTCCAATTTAAGGGTTAACTTCCACTTTAATAAAATCGAGTCTCGCAAGGTACTCGTGACTGCTATGATAATTTCGAAGTTACGCATGTCTCTTCGCAGTTCAAAATGGAACATTTTTTTTATTATTTGACAGCTTCAATGTGAGATTAAAAGATGATTTCCAGTCCGCACTGCGCAGTCTCAGCACCCTAATGTTTATAAGCATTACAA